AGGAATAGTGTGGCCAGCAGGACCAGGGAGGTGATGGTGCCCCTGTACTCGGCACTGGTGAGGCTGCACCTCGAGCACTGTGTTCAGTTTTGGGCCCCTCACTACAAGAAGGACATTGAGGTGCTGGAGTGTGTCCAAAGAAGGGCAATGAAGCTGGTGAAGGGTCTGGAGCACAAGTCTTATGAGGAGCAGCTGAGGGAGCTGGGGTTGTTAAGCCTGGGGAAAAGGAGGCTGAGGGGAGACCTTATTGCTCTCTACAACTACCTGAAAGGAGGTTGTAGCGAGGTGGGGGTCGGTCTCTTCTCCCTAGTAGCAAGCGATAGGACAAGAGGAAATGGCCTCAAGTTGTGCCAGGGGAGGTTTAGGTTGGATGTTAGGAAAAACTTCTTCACTGAAAGGGTAGTCAGGCACTGGACCAGGCTGCCCAGGGAAGTGGTTGAGTTTCCATCCCTGGAGGTATTTAAAAGAAGGGTAGACATGGTGCTTGAGGACATGGCTTAGTGGTGGCCTTGGCAGTGCTAGGTTAATGGTTGAACTCGATGATCTTAAGGGTCTTTTCCAACCTAAGCGATTCTATGATTCTGTTTTTTCCGTCACCAGGATCAATTACTCCACATGTTTGTTTCTTCCACCAACTCTTGAAGAACTTACACTTCTGCTAAAAGGAACATGTTGATGTGAATAAGGACTGTTGTCTTACTGTGCTCTTTACTTGAAATATTAAGGGTCTAAGAGAATACATCTTATGCATGTGCCAGTGAGAAATATTAAATTACTAATCTGTGTGCATACGTACTAGGGAAATTGAGACAAGCCATGGATTATGAAACTAATCCCTTTTATCTGCAGAAATTAGATTTTTTAAAATTTTTTTTTTTTTAACTTCATAATGCAAGATGTATTGCTTGGAATAAGTATTTTTCTTGACTTTCACTCAGCTTTATGCTAATGTTGGGATTGTACAAGAAGTGACTGAGCTATAGAAGGTATTTTAATGTATTATCTTTGAAAATTTTTTTTTGTGCTTAGTTATGTCAGGTGATGTTCAATACTGGGAACTTAGGTGGTGCATAAAATGGAAATATGCTGATAGTGCATAGACATTATGGTCCCAATTTGGCTCTATTTATCTAGGCACTATACTGAAGTGATCACCCTGTGACTCCGATGTCTCATTTCACTTGCAAACCAATGAAGTGTAGGTTCTGCGACTGTTGCATATGTCTGATAGAGGGAGTTATGCTGGTGCTGGACTTTTGCGTGAGGAAGCCAGTGGGAGAAACCGAACTAGGTGAACTTAGAGGTGATTGCTGTCATGCCACATGCACCATTCAGCAGTGAAACAGTGGGAACCCAGACAGGCCATTGTAGTTGTTAGCCTTTGCTCTGAACTGCCGAAGCTACTACTCTTCTGAGATTTTTTTTTTTTTATGATCTTGTCCAGTGGCTTGTAGGTTCAGAAAAGATTGCTGCTCTTCTGTATACAAATGTATACATTTAAGAAAAACATATCTGGTAACCAAAGGTATTTGAGTAATGTATAATCTAGTCACTCTTTTTATCTGTAATGTAGAAGTCTATATTCTAACTCCCATGTTTGTTTTATTCAGTGATACAGATTCAGATAGTTCATCAGCTACATCCTCCTCTTCGTGTTCTCCTTCAACAGTATCTGATGAAGATGATCATCCAAATGAGAGGGATAACCGAACTTACTCTGTTAATACAAAAGATGAGTTGCCTATTGATGTAAGTACAATGTGGTATCTTTTAAACCTTTTTCTAGTAACCCAACTTAAAATATCGTTTTATGTAAATTTCAGGGAATACAATTTGAAAATTAAAATGTGTGTGTTAAAACTGAAAAATGATGATTAGTCTTTTACCCAGAAGTCTCTAATAATAGCTAACTTGCTAAAGCATGGGTCAAAGATAAAGTAAAAGTTCAAAGAAAGTATTTAACTGGAATATGTGCTTAGGGGAAAAAAACGTGCGTGTATTAAGGAGTGTTAGCGGAACTATTTTAGAAACATCCTGCTTTGAAGTATAGGATTTGTGGATATTGTATGTAGTATGACAGATGGTACAGTTTACCAATTTGAGATTTATGAGCAAAATCTTAGCTTTCTGCCTTCTGGTCTTTAGCCTTTGACTTGCTCTAGCATCCAGGACTTAACCAAGTCTTAGCACTGAAGTTGATTTAATGTTGGAACACTTACTGTCCTGTAGAAGGGTGTGGTGGTTCTATCTGAATCCATGTCTTGGCTTTAATGCGATATTATATGATCTGGGAAAATCTTGGCCTCTGTTTGGTCTTTGAGTTGCTCTAGAAGCCTTTGCCAAGCACTTTCATTAAGAGTCAAGATTATCAGGTGAAGTTTTGAAAAGATAGGGTAAGACTCTTCTATTGGAGAGGGATTTTATTTTTGGTGATGGCCTTTAAAAGTGCAGCTCAGTACTAAGATTTGGACTCTACCTCCAAATTCAGATGATGTTGAATTTGAAGATAATTCTTACTCTAGTTGCCCTTACCTTGTATTCCATATAGTCCATAATGAATTCACAGCAGTATAATATATATATAGAAATCTTAGTTTATGAGTAAATTAGAGATTAGATTATGAGTTTGGTGTTAATCAGCCTTGATAGCAGATTTTGATGCTTACATTTGAGGAAAAACTTTAATTTGAATATTGTTTGTGCAGTACTTGTGTATATCTGAAGTTTGGCGCTTTTTTTCCAAAGTGTTCTCTATGATTATCCTCTTGTACCAAGTACAACTTTTAGCTAAAAAGAATTTTCTTTGTATAGGTGGTTGTGATCTTTACATCTTCCATAATGGTCTGAGTCATGGCATAAATGGACAGACACCATTTTGTCAAATCAGATGATACATATCTGGTGTATTTCATACTATTTTATCTCTTGCTATGTACATTTTTCTTCTGTCATGCATTGAATGTCATTACAGGTTGTCTGGTTTTTTGATTACTGATTATCTAATTATTGTGTTGTACACTGAACTTGATTTATCTAACTTGAAAGTTCAAAAAAATGAACAAAATGTCTATCAGTTATTGGTTTTCTCCAGTTGAATAAAATTGGTTTCTACTTTAGTTGCGATGGAAATATGTAGAGCAGTGTCTCAATAGAAAAAGTGTTTTGAGAAGTGACATTCCCCCAAGATGAGTTCATTTAGAATTATTCTTAAAGAGGCAAATCAAACTAGATTTTTTTACGAATCTTCAAAATGCTAGGAGTTTTTTCTGATTGTCAAATTTAAGCAGCAACAAAGTGATGAATGTCTTAGTGTGATGAGATTATATTCAGAAAATTGATTTGATATTTTCAGGAACTGCCTCCTGTTGAAGACTTATCAATAATTCTGCCTGATGACGTTGAACTGAAGCTCTTTGGGACAGTTTCCAGCATTATCGAGCAGCTAGGTAGGCAAGATATGTTTGCTTTGTTTTTAATTAAAATATTTTCTGTATATCTCTGCATTAATCCTGTACTTAACTGTTCCGTCAAAGTGTCAGTACTGCAGCATTCTATTTCAGGGGGTAGCAGGTTGCTGAATGAGAACTCAGACTACCAAATGACATTTGAGTTGAATTCCCCTTTAGTTGGCTTACATCTTCTGAAGATTTAAGATACTACAACTATTATGCATGCGTTTGTGTGACTTTCATCTTCTAATTTTTTCATAAAAGGCACCTTTTTTCACCATGTATTATGATCTTTATATTAATTCTGGCAACAATAAGATTGAACATTTGCAGTGTTTTAAGAAATCTTCCAGCTGTACATGCTATATTTGAATTATCTCTGAAGATAGAGGAGGTGCATAACTGAAAGCGCAGAGGCAGTACAACGCAGTCCCAAGTGCTTGCTTGTCAATATATGAGGACAGGAAAAACACTTATTTCTTTAGCCAGTGTAGCAGTGCTTGGGTAATTGGTGTATTATGTATGTTCTTTCTTTCTTTCGCACCTTTTTTCACCATGTATTATGATCTTTATATTAATTCTGGCAACAATAAGATTGAACATTTGCAGTGTTTTAAGATCTCTTCCAGCTGTACATGCTATATTTGAATTATCTCTGAAGATAGGAGGTGCATAACTGAAAGCGCAGAGGCAGTACAACGCAGTCCCAAGTGCTTGCTTGTCAATATATGAGGACAGGAAAAACACTTATTTCTTTAGCCAGTGTAGCAGTGCTTGGGTAATTGGTGTATTATGTATGTTCTTTCTTTCTTTCTTTTTTCCTTTTTTTTTTTTAATTCATTCCATTTCTGGCACCGTGTCCAAGTACAAGCTGCCAGTGTCAGCAGTCATAGGACAGCACGACTAACATGCTATATAGGTGCTGGAGGGTAAGCTTAATGGGATTGAGACATACAATGGATGTAAGCTTAACTGCAGGCAATATGCATTTAGGGATCTTTTCAGATCTGCCTGGGACCTCAGTTTTTGATATGTGAAATCAAAGTTTTGCTGAAGCTGGTATTAATAAAATACCCGTAGTGTGTTTGTATTTAAGCTTATTTCAAGTGTTCCATTCTGCTTGAACTGCTTTCAAAGCAATTTGCCTACGAAAATTAGAAATTAAGTTCAATTTTGAAGCTGAAGTATTTATGTTGAATGGGGTACAAAAGAATTAAAGCAAATACCCTTTGCTATTAAATTTTCTTTTATTGTAAAAGACTCCAGGTAATACAGGCAATTGCTTTACAGTATTTTTGTTGTTGATGTTGGTTTGGGGTTAAATTTAATTTCATTCATGTGCAGGAAGCTGGCTTGAGGGTGTGGAAGGTAGTCATCTGGTCATTGTCCTCTTGTTCTACTTTGCCCTTTCTTGCTTATTGATAGTAATGGGGACTTCAAGAAGGCTGTTCTCAGCTAAAGTGATAGTTTAAAAATAAGTTAAAAGAGAAACAGTTGAATTATAGTTTGCAATTATTCTTATTTTTGATCTAGCATGTGAATGTTTAAACAAAGCTGTTTTTAATGACTTCAGTTTTGAAAACCGTCCTTAATTTCTAATCCTCCGTGGTACATATAACCTTTTCAAATCCTGTCAGTTTATTGATAGGTGAATCCTTGAGTCTGTATTCTAATTTATGTAACTGAAGTGTATGAATTGTTGAATTTAGATTAGTTGGTGAAAGTTAGAAAACAGACTAATAATCATACATGAAATAAAGCCGTAAGAATGGAATAAAACCCCAAGATATCAGTGTTATTTTTCTGCTTTTACTACCTTGCTTTATGACTTCCTCTTTCTACATATTTTCTTTTCGGTTCTTCTGGAAACAGGTGTCTGGGTGGCCTCAATTTCAGTTGGTTTGTGGCCATATTAGGGACTCTGCCTGCTAATTGTGGTTTGGTTTTTGATTTTTGAACTAAATTGATACCTGTGTATACCAGGTTTGTATCTAGTGTGAGGGGAGTTGAGGTCTCATTTGGACATCACAAATATTATTTTGGCACAACAATCAGTATCCTGAACACATTCTGTCCCTTTGATATATCAGAAATCTCTGCTGTTCTCTGTAGCAAGCTTCCAAGTTCATCAGTCTGCAGTGTGTGATACCTGTAAGTTGGGTATTTCATACTATGAGGTGAATTTAAGGCTAGAACAGTATAGGGTCATGCTTGACTTCACACTAGCTAAAAGCAAGATGACAGTACTTTCTGTGAACTTTAACTTCTGCAGTGTATCAGAATTTAATGGAACTTTTGCTGTGTTTTGCTTTGAAGTGCCTAAAGAGAAGAGAAAAGAAGAATTCACTGTGTGGGTTGTAGCCTGGAAAGTAAACAGCTTTGCTATATATGAGAAACCTGCCGTGGGTCTGCACCTTCGGCCCTGGAAGAGCAGAAGCTGAGGATTTTGGGTGGGTTGGGATAGCAGGAGCTATAAGTCAAATAGGTGATAATATTTCTTCTGGGTTTCACGGGACTGGCATGACTTATACTTTCAGAATATTTTCCTTAGCCTACTGGAAGACTGGGGGCTATGGGTGATCAATCAAGTTGAGAGCGTTCTCTGAGAGTTTTTGGTGTATGGTTTTTTTGTTGTGTTCTGGTTTGGGTTTTTGTTGATGGATGGGGTTTTTTTTGGCTAAGGTATATTTCTTATGAAGGTTAAGCAACACACTGGGTTCTTTCACTGTATATTTTATCTTACAGGTAGGCACAAAATAAACTGATTTCCCTGCTTTTCTTGAAATTCAGTGAACTATTAAGCCTGTAGCATTGTCACAGGCTTGTTTGGCATGTCACAAGGTGTTTGCAGATTGAAATAGTAGCAAAGCTGGAGTTTTAGCTTGATGAGATGTTTATTGCTTTAAGTCCTGTTATGTAAGTTCAGCAGTGATAATCTTGTTAGATTTTGTTGGAGTCTGAGTGACACTAAGTGCTAGAGTGGCTTTATTTGATGATGGAGAGGCATTGAGAATGCTTAATGGAGCGTTCTGTTGTTTTAGAAGTAGAAGAGATTGCCTTCAGAATCAGGATTTTTTGAGTGTAATGCTGCTAGGCCTCTGTATTGACAGCTTCATGCATAATGCCTGCTGAATGTAAAGGAAGACCCAGTATTTCTGTAGACTAAAGCAACAAGTGTGAACTACTACCAAAGACGAGAGTTAACTACTCTAAAGATTTCAGTAAAGAATAAGCTCTTTATGTCTCTGAATCTGGGAAACCTAAAAATGAAGTTGTCTGTATATCAAATTATGTATTTAATGGAGGAAGAACATGTTTCTGTGTCAATTTATAAGTAACCACCAGTTACTTCTGTGACTGGACTGCCAGACATCTTTTGTGTTCTGGTCTTATTCTTATGACTTACTAGGGGAAGCTATAATGTGTAGCCATCTCCATTCTTTTTTCCGAGGAGAATTTAATTTGTAATACTAAGAAAGCAGAATATATCTGCACTCAAAAAAACCAGATTATTGCTGCTATGCACTTAATTAAGGAACATCCCAGGTAAATACAGGAGTATCTCACACATACATATCTGAGACTTCTCTTTTGTACCTATCATCTGGTCTCCTTTCTTTCTCACACCAGAGAACAATAACTCTCTAAACAAGTGTAAATCTTACCATTCATATATCACTGGAGAAGGGGTGGACAATTGTAAGTAGTTTTGTGTGTGCACAAGGTTTTTCAGGTGGAGCTCTATGAACTTTAGTAGACAAATAATGGAGTGGTTTGTTAAGTTTCTCTGCAATTAACTACATACTGCTGTTGCAACATAAAGTTCTAATTGATTTTTTTTTCCATTTTAGTAATAATTGAATCACTGAGAGGCCTACCTCCAGTAAATGAGGAAAGCATAATTTTTAAAGAAGATCGGCAAGCAGCAGGAAAGGTGTGTGTAAAGCATAAAAACTTATTATTCTAATATAAAATTCAAAGTATTCTTTTATGTTCCAACAAGTAGTGTTGAAGACGACTAAATGAAAGATAATGTTTCCTTGATATGTAGTTTTTCTTAGTGCTTTTGACTCTTGCTATAGTCATCTGTTTTTTTTAATCTCAAGAATTCCTAACCTGGAATTCATTGCATCCTTACAGAATTACAATGTGTGATGCGTATCTGCTATTTTGAGAGTGCTTATGAAGAGGGAGCGGTTGCTTTCACATGTATTTTATTCTTTTATTGCCAGGAGTTGGGAGCAAAGATTGGAGAAATTAGAGTCAAATTTCAGGAAAAATGGGGAATTTTTATGGTCTGCTGTTCCAGTTTAAGGCCAGCGTGTGCTTTATGGAAGTATAATGAAGAATGTTTGCTGAGAGGGGTGTTGCATTGAATTTTGTATGTTTTCTGGAAAACTATCATCTAGAACTGTTACTACTATAATATCTTCGAATGCTAGATGTGAGTGAAATAAAAAAACACAGCCTGAAATTGCAGCTGTTCTGTACAACATCTCAGAATTCTCTGCTCTTCACAGAATTAGGGAGCAGACAGGGGAACTGACATAAAGGCGTCTTCTAAAGGTGAACTTTGAGGAATAAACGATCAGGAGATTGTTCCAGGTGTAAGAGATGTAAAAGCATAAAGGAGAGAGAAGAATAGAGATTTGGCAAAAGGAAAGATTAATAAAGTAGAGGAAGAAGACAGTGAAAGCAGTGCAGTTGGGTGGGTGAAGGCAACATCAACATGTGAGAAAACTTACTTTTCTACATTATGACTTAAACAGTAGCTGGGGCAATATACTGTCAAGCAACATGTGGTAATAAAACTAAAGCATGAAAGTAACTTTCATGCTGCATTTTGAAAATATATCAAACTTCTTAAATACAAAGCATCTTAAAGCTTCATGGTTGTCTACAATGAAATTAGCTGTCTACTCTTCATGGTTTATTTAAACATTTTAATTTTGTTTGTGTTTCAGATATTTGAGATATTTGGTCCTGTTTTACATCCCTTTTATGTGTTAAGATTTAACAGCTCTGAGCATATCAAAGCAAAAGGTATTAATGTGCAAGACAGCATGTATTTTGCTCCATCACTGAAGGACTTCACCCAGTATATATTTGCAGAGAAACTAAAACAGTGAGTCTGACTTCTTTTCTGATCCGGTTATAATGTATTTTTTAATGTAGCTAAAAATCCTGGATTAAAGTTTAGCTTCGAATGAGAAACTATAGGACTAAGCTTGACACTAAAACTTTTCTTTTTTTAGATACTCTCAACTCTGTTTTAATAACAAGGTTGTTCTGTTTTGCCTTTCAGAACAGTACAAAGTAGCTGTAAACTACAAGCTTCTAAAGTGTTACAATTACTAAAGTTTAGTAGCTTCTTATTCGATTTAATATATTAAGCTTGCTTTCTTTTCATGTTGCTGCATTAACTAAAATATCATAACCAGAAAAAAATTCATTGATACTTCCCTCCCCCACACCTCCTCACACACATACACATGCATGGGTTTTGCAAGCTGAACTTTCTGGATTTTGTTTTTCTGCAGATTGTTGTTTAGTTTCATAACTTATAATAAACTTGTTTGAATTCTGAACAAGTTTATATTTATGCACTATTTTTATTTCATGTTGCAAGGCCAGAACTGAAATTTAATTATCAATAAATCTATTGTGCAGTTGGAGAATAACAATTCTGTATGAAAATTACCTGCTGTAAATTTGGGAGAGAGAAGGGATTCGAGTGGCAATGTAGTATGATGTTCAGAAACTTTTCAGTAGTATTTGTGTATACCAGTCTGCCTGAGGAAAGTAGCGTGTGTGAATAGGACTTCTGCCATTGAAAAGGAAGTGTACTCAAAAATAGAGAATAAGAATTGAAGCATAATAAATGACTGCTAGACATCGGTGTTCTAATCATTGATGAATAATTGCCTGAAATAACTATAGGTTAAAAAAGTCCTTTGTCATACAAGTGACTTAGTCTCTGTTTATTAAGATTAGTTTTCATCTGACTTGCAAATTTTTTCTGACTATAGCCAATAATATTGGTGTCTGCATTAATTGCCACTCTGTCAGTATTCATACTAAGTAATTTTTTTTCTTTAGTCATGCATGTGGCCAGGCCTGCAGGAGTCCTCCCCTCCCCGACCCCCCCTTCCCATTTCTGTGGAAGCAATAAGCATATTTTTTTTCCTTTCAGTGAAGACCAAAATAGATCACTTTATAACTCTGCTGCTTGTTTGTTTTTCTGCAGCATTTTGATGCCAGCTGGTCTTTGCTTTGTGCCACTAAACTTTGTTGCTTAGCACAGTAACTGCACAGATTTTAATCATCTGCTTACTGCATCAATAACTGTGTGCTGTACTCAGCATCTGAGACGTGAGACTCATGTTTTAGTTTGTTACATGCTTTGCAACTAGTTCTGGGAACTATTTGTCTTTTGGTAGTACTTCGCTATCATATATGGTCCAGAATTGAACACTAGGTAAGATGTTTCACACTTTCATGACTTATCAGTGCAGCTGAACAGTGCATCAGACATTGTTTCTTGCCCTGCATTAAAATGAGCAGTGTAAACACCTGTGTAATCCGATGTAAACCATAATTTCTGAAAAATGTGTCTTAAGTTACATTTCACTGAAACAATATTTTATTTCTGAGTTTTGTCAGTAAAGGTTCTTAAGCTTTTGTGAGGCAATCGGTACTATTTCTTGAAGCTGCCTTTTCACAAAGTAGGTGTCATTGAAAAAGAATAAAGAATTTTGATTTCGGAACTGTGCTATAATGCGTGGATAGTAGAAAAGTTGAGCTTCGGTCAGTGCTTCACAAGAAGGCTTTTGGACCTTAGCAGATTGCAAATTTGATGACCAATGATTGTTATTTTCTGCTTTTTGTTAGTTTGACTGCAGACCAGCTTGTGGAGTATTATAGGCTTAAAGTTCTAGAACTGCTATTCAAAACTGTGATGGTATTTTGAAAAGGAAAGGAATCAGGATTAAGATCTGAAAGAAACCTTAAGTTTAAAGCTTCTTCTGAAATCTGGCATGCAATCGACTTGCATTGTACAAAGTTGCAGTGCTATGAATAAGCCTTACACTTTATAGCAAAGTAAATGAAAGTATAGTGTAAAACTTCTTGAATGCAAAATAATTTGTTGCTAAAAATAGATGTATGTTGTATTGCCTGAAACACAAAGTAATTCTAAAGAAGCTCATGTATTTTCATGATTCCTCTGAGTCACCTTTTGTTAGACTTCCAGATCTTACAGTATCTGAGTTCAGAAATCAAAGAATTACTATCTTGTTCTTTGCAGAAGATTATTAGGTATCTCAGAGCATGAAAAGTGTTTTGCTGAAATGGGGAAGGCTGCCTTGGGAGAGTGAGATAAGCTTGAAGATAAGCCTGAAGAACTTTCAAGGTTTAAATTTTGTGGTCAGTAGTGCTACCTATTGCCCAATGACCACAGGTGATGGAGTTTCTTCTGTGCTTTGGTATTTCTAGCAGTCATGTATTGCCCCAAAATAACAAGATGAGAGGGAGAAACAAAGAAGCTGGTTCATAATAAAAAACCAAAGTGTTACTGTTCATTATTGCATAGGTAGAGAGTTTTCTGCAGACGAGAAATTACTCATATAGAGCCCTTACCTTCCTTTCCTCCCTGTAACATTTTCTTCAAATTGAACTTTAAAATGGCTTAAAATGGTTAAAATCACAAAGGTAGGGTGTCTTTAGGGTTTTCTAGTGATACGTAGAGACTGAGCTTCAGTTTTATGGTTAGGGGTTGAGGTATCAGATGACTTGCCAGCATTCTTCTCATGGGCAGCCTTTGACTAAGGGCGTCTTAGGTCCAGGCTGCCTAGAGCCAATAGTTATGTACTTTGATGTAGCTATTGCTGCTTGATTGTTGCTGACTTGGTGAATACATAAAAAAACCCCTTGGTTATTAGAGCACTGACAGAAGACTTTTCACACTGAACACGTTGGTGTTTTTAACTATATGGTTCCATTTTGCAAGTAAGAATTTTCAGTATTGCATTATTTTATATAGTTTGTCTGCATAGATAAGGATTGTGTTTTGACATTTCAGACCAAAATATATTAAATCTGTGAGCAGCGTGGAAAAACCTTCCAGAGACCTTAACAGCATAGTTTAAATTTGTCCCACAAACTTGTTGCTAATCAAAGAAATTACTTGATTTTTAGTGAAGTTCTTAAAGTTGTGGGTGAAATAAACGACACCACTTCAGATTAATTTTGGTGCTTGTCAGGCAAGATGATTGAGGTTTTGCTTCCTTAAATGTCTTTTACCTTGCTTTTTAATTTTATGTTTGCAACAAAATAGAAGATGAATCTTAATTTTCTAGCTAGTACTGTATTAATAGAATTGTAAGCCAAGCTTAGAGGGTTTTTGGTTCCAAATACACTTTGCTATAGATGTACTTAAAGCCTGTGTCCTACTAGACTAGTTCATTGTCCTTTTTAACTGGACATATGTATTCTGAAACCAGAAGAATAAGAAAGCTTATGACTGTAGTCAGCAGTTAGCATAAGAAAGTTGCAGTGAGCTACCTCAATTCAGGTTCAAAGCAATTTAGGTTCAAAAGGATGTCTTGAGAGAATATTGATCAAAGCTTAATACTAGCTGTGAAAAATGTTCAGTCTTCACTCAAAGTAGGAAGATTTTTCAAGTGACATGTAGTAAAGTTCTAAGTTGACACATACATTACTACTCACTTAGAAACAACATTAAAAACCAAATGACCCTTTTAAAATAGGCAGCTCCTGGTGTAGGAGATCTGATACCTCTAAGAAAGTGTTATCCTATTTGCTACAGTACAGTTCTTGCAAATTATTTCTAACCTGGAATATGTTGCTACTATGTGACTCAAACGAGATGTTTCAAAGCTGCCGTACACTATCTTCCTTCATGTTGATTGTCTAATTTGTGCTTGGTTTGTTTGTTTTTTCTTTTAGGGAAAAAGGTTCAGATGCATCTTGGAAGAATGATGAAGAACCACCACCTGAAGTAACTATAGTTTTTTTGCTTTATTGTTTTTGATTACACAAGACATATGTAGAAAAACTTCTGTGCAGAGTAACTAATTAGCAAGCTTATTTTTTTACACAGACAAGAGTTGGATGTACCTATTTTCTTCATTGAAAAGAAGGTCATACTTTTCTTGGAGATGCCTCACAGTCAGTGTAGAGAGTACTAGCTGTCTTTCTCCTTGCTTTTTGCAATTTGGAAAATGTATATCTTCAATTCCTTGAGTCCTTCCAGAACATGTTTAGCAACCTGAATCTTCAACTTTGAGTAGCAGTGCTTTTACCTTGCCTGTTCGTTTTGCTTCTGTTAGGGAATTTCTGTCCTTGCTGTTCTTTCACTGCAGCTTTGTCTTTTACCTTGCCACAAGCAATTGTTTGTCTTTAAAGGCCTGATAGTACTCTGAAAACTGTACTAGTTAGGTGTTTAAGCTGTCTGCTCTGTTAGATTAACTTGACACCTCCACTGTTGCATTCTTCGAATGGTTTCTTAGTAAGATTTCCCTGCTGTTTGCTATTATAAAACACTAGTTTCATGAGAGGAGATGAGCTGCTTCCATACGAGGGCAGTCATACAGGATTGTGTAGAAGTGAGAGTGCCTCACGACCATTGACATAATTTACTGTAGGATCTGTAAAGATTTCTTCAGTGACATCCAGGCTTCCTGTCCAGTGCTCCTTAACTCCATTCAAACTATACTTTTCATGGCTATTCTTTCCTGCAATAAGAATTGCAAGGCTGATAGTTTTATTGAGGTGTTTTTGAGATTTGTTTTCTAGCTCAACACTTGGAGTCACTTTTCCTTGCAATTTCTACTTCAAGCCTGTCTTATCCAAAACAGCTGAAATTCCTAGAAGCCTTGTGTCTACCATAGTATCCTAAAGAGATCTGTCTGCTTGTTTTGAATCTTCCGAAAGCTTGTATAGTTAGCATAGTTCTAAGTTACATGGTATGTGCTTCTTATTCTATAATTAAGTAGGAAAGGTGGTTTTTGTGGGTTGGGTTTTTTTTTTTTAGTGCTCTAACGAATTTTTAGAATAGAATAGGCTATTTCAGTTGGAAGGAACCTACAACGAACATTGAGTCCAACTGCCTGACCAATTCAGGGCTGACCAGAGGCTAAAGCATGTTATTAAGGGCATTGTCCAAACGCCTCTTAAATGCTGACAGGCCTGGGGCATCGACCACCTCTCTAGGAAGCCTGTTCCAGTGTTTGACCACCCTCTCGGTAAAGAAATGCTTTCTAATGTCCAGTCTAAACCTCCTCTGGCACAGCTTTGAACCGTTCCCACATGTCCTATCAGTGGATACCAGGGAGAAGAGCTCAGCACCTCCCTCTCCATGTCCCATCCTCAGCAAGCTGTAGAGAGCCATGAGGTCACCCCTCAGACTCCTTCTCTCCAAACTAGGCAAGCCCAAAGTCCTTAGCTGCTCCTCATAGGACACGCCTGCCAGCCCTCTCACCAGCTTTGATGCCCTCCTCTGGTCGCATTCAAGGACCTTTACATACTTCTTAAACCGTGGGGCCCAGAACTGCACACAGTATTCGAGGTGAGGCCACACCAACGCTGAATACAGTGGGGTAATCACCTCTTTTGACTGGCTGCTTATAGTGTTTTTGATGCACCCCAGGATGCGGTTTGCCCTCTTGGCTGCCAGGGCACACTGCTGACTCCTATTGAGCCTGCTGTTGACCAGCACACCCAGGTCCCTTTCTGCAGGGCTGCTCTCCAGCCACTCCTCTCCCTATTTATACTTGTTCCCGGCATTACTCAGTCCTAGGTGCAGGATCCGTCATTTGGACTGTTAAATTTCATCCCATTAATCATAGCCCAATGCTCCAATCTGTCTGGATCCCTCTGCAAGGCCTCTTGTCCCTCAAGAGAGCCAAGAGCACCTCCCAGTTTAGTATCATCAGCAGACTTGCTAATGGTGCGTTCAACTCCTGCATCCAGATCATTGATAAATATATTGAACAGAACTGGCCCTAGAGTTGAACCCTGAGCCACACCACTGGTGACCAGTTGCCAGCCAGATGTAGCCCCATTCACTGCAACTCTTTGGAGGTCTGCCCTTCAGCCAGATCTTCACCCAGCGCACCATGAACCCGCTCATCCCGTGGTTGGACAACTTGTCCAGAAGGGTGCTGTGAGGGTCGGTATCAATTTTTGCATTCACAGCCCTTATCCCAGGCCAGTTCTGGCTCGAAGGAGAGATGTTGTGACACAGGCTTTTCTATGTGTGAAGATAGGTCCTGTAATGATGTATCAGTCTGTCAACCCAGAATGCTGCTTTTTTCCACTATGGTGAGGATGATGCATTTTGAAATACCTTTTTTTCTTCCCACAAACGGAACTGAGCTGAGCAGTGTTAACTTCTTTTGAAGAATGCTTGTCTGTCAGTTCTGACTGTAAATTGCTTTCCTTTCTTGGGGAGACATCGACTCACAGAGAATCATCATTTGAGAATCAGAAGTGTTACAGAGTTGGACTGTAGGTATGTGATCAATAGAGCTTTGAAAGACTGTATACTTAGAAACTTTTGGGTAGTCTTAGCTTTCTTTCGTCAAACAATTTTCTAGCGATGATACAAAATGTGCATATTGGCTAATGGTGAGCACTTTTTTTGTTTCTTAGTCATATTTTTAAAGCTGTTCAGGAGATAAGCTTGTAAATATGTAATTTGAATTTGCAGGAACCTAAGTAACTTTAAAATTTGGCTAAATACAATCAAGCAGTCAGGTCTTCTGCAGATAGAAATTCATTGCTTTTTCCAAAGTTGGTATTTATTTTTTAATGGTTTTTCTTAATTTTAATTATGATACTGTTACTTTCAGGTTAGAATCTGAAAGTACAGGGGAAACTTTAGGTTTACTGTCCTTCAGTATAGGAAGGAAGGAAGCTTGAATGAAATTGGCGATGGCAAGGATGGGCAAACGTGATTGCTTTTTATGACACCTTTGTTTCCGTGGCTGTTCTGACTTTGTGATATGTCTGCGTGCTCTATTTTGGAGAAATCACCACAGCTAACATCTTGTAATCCTTAATTAGAATAATCTTTGGATAGTTCTAGCAGTTAGAGTTTGCACTAAGATATCCAAACTGTGACAGCTGATGAGCTGATAGAGAGTAGCTTTTGCTGTGAAGGTAATAGCTGTTGACAAGGGTGCAGATTAAATTTTATGCTACTGATGCTTGAAATTGTCTCTTACAGCCAGATTCTTCTAGAGCCCTCAGCTGGCAGCTGATTCTGTAACTTTTCTGGCCAGCTCCCATGGTAAACTGTGTGCAGTTGCTGGAGTCAGTTCTTTCTGTGATACCATGAAGCTTTATTTTTGTATGAACGTTAGATTAATCCATGTTAGGCCTTTTATGCTTGCTACTTTAAGGTATATGGTAAGTGTTCCTTTTCTGACAGGCTTGTAATTAGTCCAGCTTAACTGTAGACTCGTTAATACAGTCTCTCTCGGCCTTGTCTTTGGGGCCATAGGACGACAAAGTGTGATCTGTATGCTCTAAGGCTAGCTGGAGCAGAGAACTGCGGTTTCTCTGTGAGGTGGCTTTTATGGAATGTTAGATGGAAATTAGCTAGCAACAGAAGGTACCCGTTTGGTATTTCTGCTCTACTGGAGGATGGCATATTGAAGTCCTTAGAAAAAGCAGAAGTTAGTGAAAGATTTTACTTCATGGTATATATAATCTTGTGGCTTTTTTTGAGTAAGAATATAATCCAGTATGTAGAAGAGGAAATGGTTGTATTCAGAATTAACTTTTATGTGGCTTTTTTAGCACTGTTGTAGTGCAGTGTTCTTGAGATCCATGCTCTGTGTATACTAGAGAGATACATCAGAAAGCAGCAAACCCCTTCCTTTCAGAACTGGGAAGGGGAGGGTGGGAACAAATCCTTTTAAGTCATATGAGTGAGCTGTTTTTTAGGGAATAATTTATGCTGACAGATTTCTTCCCTGTCACTAATAACTCTTCCTCATTCTAAATGTAAGCTAGGATTCAAAAGGTAGCAAAACCTTGTGTAACAGGAACAAAATGGTGCAGTGACATTGAATCTATTGTAAATGACAACATTTTCCAAAGCTGAAAATTCCTTTGGAATAACATTGCTATTGCAAATTTAAGTGTTATTAAATATGCTACAGAAAATTCGAATCTAGTGACAATTTTAGACTAGAGATTTTTTTAATGTAGTTTAACTGTGCTGAGTTAAGTATTGGTTGCCAAATTAATTTTAACATATTTTAAAAAAATCCATATTTTAATTCACCTAGTCTGCAGTTTTCCCTTTGAAAGCTTTTTCTTGGCAATAACTAGCCAGCTCCCTCAGAGATTCCCAGTTTTTTTTTTACTAACATCTAGGCAATCAAAAATTTGCGTGCAGTACTTGAATGTTGCTGTGTTTAGGAAAATTAGGAGGAGTATTGTATAATTGTCTTACGAGAAATTTGTGGACTGTGAAGTTTTTAATCGTGTGTTCAGCTGGCTTCTCAACACAATGGGCCTTTGAATGCAAAATAGGAAAGTACAGCTTTTAATATTCTTCTAAGCTGACTGCAGGATGGATTGTTTTCTAAATAATGATTTATTGCTAGAACTGAAGTTCTTTATGCAGTCTTTATATGGCTTTGTTCTTTTTTTTTTTTTTTTTTTTTTTTTTTTTTTTTTTTTTTAAACAAGGCCTTGGATTTCAGTGATGATGAAAAAGAAAGAGAGGCGAAACAGAAGAAAAAGAAGCCTCAAAGTCAAGGAAGGAGGAAACTCAAATCAGACACAAATGCATCAAGTGAGTAGTGAATGCTATGGGAGAATGCTTTTATCTTTGAAATACACAACAGTATCTTAATGATTGACCTTTCATAGAGTTAATCAGTATTTCTGTGCTTTTCAAAGTTGTATTTGTTAATTTGTTCTTACATTCCCTAATTTTTTTAAAAGGAAAAGGAAGGGTTTTTTCCATTGAACTGTGGAAGGGAAGTAGTATAGGAGCAGGACAGTTGTCAGAGGAGATTTGAAGGCTCTTACAACAGTGTTATGTGACACACTGCGAGGCTATAGAACACATGCCACCTTTTGGAGTTTAGAGCTTGCTTATTGCAGGGGTTATTGGAGCCCCAGTTCAGCTTAAGCCTTGAGTGCAGGGAGAAGGTAAGAGAAAGGCCATGTGCAATTTTTGGAAACCCATTTTTTTGACAATCAGGGAGAAGACGTGAGTCTTCTCAAGATGGGGAATTTATTCCTCTATCTGAAAAGGAAGCTCTTCCTCACCCGTGACATATAAGTACTCCTTTAAAGTAACTGTTACTTATGTAGCCCACTGAGAACCTCTCTGTTTACCTAACACAGTCATTAGGTAAACAAACCTATAGTAGTTCAATGAACTATGTGTAGTTTTTCATAATATATATAGCCTTCTTCGCCTTCCTTTCTCCTGCTGTTGACAGAGCTTTTCCAAGTGTATGCTTGCAGCTGTGCTCTGTTTGCAATAACCAGATTTTTCTATCTGTCTTCTCTCATGCCTCTCCACTGACAAAACTTTTTGCTTTTTGGTTGCCACTTTGGTTGAATAATCTAAATCGCATCACTCTTTTTTTCTGTTCTCACTGCTCTGCTTCTGTTGAATGCTTTTGTACCACTCCCTTTAAATACTACTGACTCGCATCCCTTCCCCTCGTCCTCTTCTACTGCTTACATATCAGGTTGCTTAGGCTGTCTGCAGCACAGTGCTTCCCCCCATTGATTTTCTTGGACTGACTCCTTCCGTGAGTTTGCTGCTCTTCCTTTGTAAAACTGCTAGACATTGCGCCCCACTGAACCCCTTTTCTCTTGATCTGGGAAGTCAGTAACTGCCCTGTTAACAGTTTTACTCTGTGTACAGTACATCGCACCCTTGTATTCTTTAAATAAAGCTGCAGGACTGGCTTTTGCTCCGTGGTTTTGACAGTTCTCCCTTAAGGGAAGGATCTGAATTGTGCCATACTTTCCTTTCATTGCTGATGGTTATTTTCTCTCCTGGTTTCTGCTTATCTAGCATACGGCATGTTTTCCACCATATCGTTATTCTGCTAGCTTATTGCAGACCTGCCTTTGCCTAGGGCTTGCTGAGGCTGTTACTGGTCTATGTTCCATAACTGAGAACATAACAGGAGGAACTGTCTCAGTCTGTCAAGGGAGTACGAGTTACGATTTGCTGTGTTTTTCTGTAAATAGCATCATATAAATTGACATTGTGTGCAATTTAGTTTGGCTGTGGAATTCAACAACAAGGATATCTGGCAAATTGAGGCAAAAACTCAGTCTCAGCTGGAGTTTTGCTTGGTTGCATCTTCATAAAACTCTGAATATATTAAAATTGGCTCATTGTTACAGTCTTTGGTAGGAGAAGAAAAAACAAAAATATTCACTCAAGTACTTTCACTTCAGTACTTCTGAGAGGACTGCATGCACCAAAGGAGTCTAAGTTCTAAGCCCCCATGAAGAGGAGGAGAAATTTTGGTATCCAGCTACCTTTCCAGACTTAGTTTTTTAAAGGTGAAAATGTTTCTATGTATTCTAGTGCCAAGGATTAAGTCCACATAGTTTCTTAAAATTCAGTGGTTTTAAGTGGTGTTACGTCCCTAAATACCTTTTTGCTTCTAGCCCTAAAATCCTTTAGAGATCATGTTTTGGTTTGAATTCTGCAGCCATTTGAATATCTTAGCAGCTCTTTGGAACATTTTTAATATTTCAGTGCTGTTAATCTTATAGCACTTATCCCATTAATACTTTTATGGTATTTATATAAAGTGGCAGTACATTTGTTATGAACCGTAAATATATGCTTACAGTGACCTGTACAGGGAAAAATTCACCATTGAAAGATGAATGCTGAAAGCTAATTGGCTAAAGGTACAGGCTGCCTTTTTTCTGATAGAGTAAGTTAATTTTATTAATTTGAGTTTGAATAATTCCTTGTGTCCTGTGTCTGTGCTGTAATATCAACTCAGGTCTGAAAGCTGTATACCACTTTAGTGTAATGCAGTGTTGATTTATCTTCAGTCTTAAAACGTGTTGCTTTTAAAACTTGTTTTAAACCAAAGCTTCCAAAATACTCACAGTTTGAGTGTTCCTGTGATTCATTAATACAAATTAAAAGGCCTGGAGGGGAAGAAAGTTAAATTTCTTTTTTAATGACTGAATTTGCAACCCTCAGGGTCATTCTTTCTATATTACTCTTAATAAATCAAGATGAGTTACTACGGTAGACTTGCCAGTATTATTTTGTTGTTTATGTATTATTTGCCAGTATTATTTGTTGATAAGCTTACTTCTCAAATTTCCTTGACTTCAGCTTGAAAGGTTTGTGAGGTCTAAACTTAATCTTTCCAAAATAATATTAAAACTGTGTGTGTTTTTACATTTTTTTTGTTGGCTTTTTTTTTTAAGGTGAGAATAAAGGACTTCATCAGTCAGTGCAACAGCCTGCTTCAGGTTATTCAAGGGGATACCGTGGCAGAGGGTTCTCCAGGGATCCATTTCCTCCTCCATCAGTCCCTCCAGGTTTTTTGAGACCACAAGAAAGACCACCACAGCTATACTCTTCAGACAACAGAATACATCAGGAATCTCCATTGTTTCCACAACCTCATAGAAAAGAAAATCCAATGATGCAACAATATCCCTTTGCTCCTCCAGTTTTTGGTTCTGTTAATGAGATGCATCAATTCCACCTTCCGCCTTCAAATCTGAATATGATTTGGACAGGCCCGAATATGTACAACTCATCATACGCATTTTTGCCGCCACCGCCGCCTCCTCCACCTCCTCCGCCTCCTCCAGATAGCCATCCTTCTCAGTTCAGGCCTTACTAAGTTTCCATAAACGTGCATACAGAGCATTGCAGTTCAAAGGGAGGAAGAACAGGCTGCCAAGACTGTATTCCCTTATTTTGGAGATGCTTCATTTTTCTGCAACAATAGAACAAATGCAGAGTTTGATGCTTTGTGGGACATCTGTAGAAAACTTTTTTTTCCTATGTTTTCTGTTGCAAAAAAAAGAAAAATGTATGATAAAAGTAACTGAAGATTAAATAATGGTTTATTTTTATAATGTCTACTAGTTTGGGATGATAAATAAAAACATTTTGGAGACTGGTACGTAGTGGTGGAAATCTATTTTGTAATAAATTTAAGAGTTTGTGTAACTACTGTCTAATAGTTTCGCATAGATGGTGTTTTAATATTTTTAGAGTGATTGTATATTGCTATGCTAAACCATTTTTCTCAATTTCTGCAAATTTTGAAATCTTGCATGGAAACTAAAAATCTGGCACCTAATTTTTAAACTATGTTTGCCACTGTTTATGTAAGGTATAAACTCCTGTTATCCAACTTCTAATATTTCATTAATTTCATATTAACTAAAAGACTGGAGCTGGATGTTTTTTTTTTAAATAGCTGGAGTATCTAGATCAGAATTTGGACCAGCAGCTGAATTACTCTGTCAGATTTAGTGTCCTATAATAGCTATAGAAGATCAACTTATCGATTAGATGTTTTGCAATTAATTTTAGGATGTAAAACTGCATGGTATGGGGAAATTAAAAACCAGCATAACTTCTCTATCTTGTCTTTGCTCCTAGTGCAGAAATGCCCATAGATACATACAGTACATAGTCAGTCTTTCCAGGAAGAAGTCATCAGAGCTGCCAGGGAGAGAAGGTATGCCATTTCAGAACTCCCGTGTTTAAATTTGTATCCAAAATGCAGATAGCAATAGATTGCTGTTTGATTGGCTTTACAGTCAAAACTGTCTTCTGAATTACGAGGTTTATCAACTCTCCCAGCTTGTTTCTAGGAGGGGAATTGTCAACCAAAGACAGCCTGGAACAGCCTCCTCCTGTCCAAAGGGGCAGTCCTACAATTGAGCTTCCTTAGTCTCCATGGAAATGGCTCTGACTAACTAGAATGGAAACGCTTACATTATTAGTTGATTAAGGATTCAGAAATCATTACAACAATACAATCACTCTGAACCATTGAACAGAACTGATAGAAGTGTGCAGTATGTATTTCTATTCTCAAACTCATAGTGGCCTCATTACTTTGGATATGTATTTAAAGGCTAATTAAGCTCTGCAGGTGTTGCTTAGACTTTTACTCAAATTCCAAATAACTTAAGAATGAAGCCAAAATTTAATGCACAGAAGGAGGGACTGTCTTGTCAAGATGCTGCTAGTGTGAATTAGAATTTAATTTCAGACTTCTAAAGTTTTCTGTAGTATACTTAAATAATTATTCTATTCTCTTAATATATCTAGAACTACTATTTCATAGGTGTGCAACTGAGAAAGTTGTATAGATCTTAAATTTCATGGCAAATGGGTCCTGTACAGTGGCAGCAAACTGTTTCAGACAATAGCATTCCAGACATTAATGTTTTACTTGGTTCTTGCAGATTTTTTCTTTTGTAGTAAAAAGAATGTCCAATTCTAGTCTGTTGCAAATGCTCATGTTTTAGGGGAAAGGAGGAGGGGGGTGAATTTCTGGCTGTCTAAGCTGTAGCCCAGCTATTGCCATTGCTAGTGATAGGTCACAGGCACGAGTAAACTCACTACAGCCTCATGACTGAGGCTTAGCAGGTTTGCTTTGTCTGAGCCTCCCTTGACCCACCTGGAGCTTTCTTTTAATTTGGTTTAGCTATAACTGCAATTTGTTAATGACCAGGTGGGTATGATTAATTTGTTTTACATGTACTTTTTTTTTCCTATGGTATACACATAGGTTTTTATGTAGATGGCAGCAGCAAGTAGTTATTCTGTGTAGAATGGGGTATTTATGGCTTCAATGGAATAAGATAGCGTAGAGGAATAGAGACCCGACATGATAACAGAAGCCTCAAGTGACAGCACAGGATGGAGCAGCGTAGAGGAGTACCTGGGATGTCCAGAGCTGGGGCAGGGCTGGCACTGGGCACCTCGGGGCTGTGAACTCCTCCCCAGCGGTCAGTTGAAGAAATGCAATCCTGGCTCTAGGCAAAACTTGTCTTGAGTATAACGGAGAGAAAAAGTATATAACACATCTAAAATGCACCATGTACAGTAAAATAAGATGTAGTTGTGAAAACGCAGACAGATGAAGAAAGAGCAAGATGTTACAAGTGCGTTATCAAACATAAAAGTGATCCAAGTCGATTACAGATTAAGGGGGAAGAAACCGTCAACATCATACTCGGACCTGGGATGCTGATGACTCGCTGCATGTCCCTGGCACAAACGGGTACCATCAGCCTCCAGATCCAAAGGTCAGCTGAAGGGTAAGTGTAACACCAGGAAAAGGGGTGAGGTAATAGGAAGTGTACGTCCAACAATTTTTAACTATCGCTACTATTGAGATCTTTTTTTATGTAATGTTCACTTTTTTCCTGCAATAACTGGATCTGGACTAATAATAATTCTTCGATTAGTCAGTTAAGATTTCAGTTATACTAAGGTGTATCCTCTTTTCCCATAACAACATTTTGCATGTAACAAAACCCAATATAAAATTAGGTTACAGAATGTAGTTTGACAGAAATCTATTATGGTCTAAGCTATTTTATTAATGCTTGGTAGTTAACTGCAGTACTGGTTTTGTGTGCACTTGCTTGTTTTCTATGTCGAAACAAATTTTGCAGGTGTTCTGCACAGTGAGTACAGGTCACACTTGCAGAACTTTTGCTTGGAATCAACTTTAGTTCTTCATTACAGAATTATTTGAGAGCTAGGTATGATTACTGAGTTTGAAATATTTGGAGGATTATTTCCTCGCCTCAAAATAGCGTTACATGCACCATCACTTACACTGAAGAATAAGCATTGCAATAGATTGCTAGAGTAGTGCACCATCTTAATTTGAAAATAGAGCTATTGTAACTGTCTTTTTTATTTTTTTTTTAAATCATGAATGCAATCATCATTGATTATAAGTTTCCTTGTGTAGCTGGCTGTAGTCATTAGCGTTGCACAGATACTGTCAGACCTGTTCGCTGTTCAGTGTGCTGGACACTGGCTATTGAGAAAAGAGTATAAACTTGCAGCAAGTTGGGGAAATTAGAACCTGAGGTGCATATGCAAGTTCAGCTGTTAGGGGAAGGAAAATAAAACTGGGTACGCTTGCTAGGAAGATTAATGTTGTGGAAATACTTCTTCTGTATCTTCAGCTCTTTGAAAAATGTCCCTCTCTTTGTCCACAGGCCTTATAAAGCCGTAACTGTAAAACTTGGGAAAACTGGCCTGACAGTTTTAGTGGCAAGAATAGCTGGCTTTGTTTGGCCCCAGCTATTTTTATGTCAAGCTGTTTTATAGAAATCTATGTTACTATATTACATTAAACACATTACTACATTAAAACGTTAGAGTAGTATGCTATAATAGGATTACAGTAACTTGTCTGCTGAACGGCACTCTTTTGTGTCTGGGACACCAGTTCAGTCATAGACACACCACAGGGACAGATCCTTGGCAAATGAAGCACTTTAAGACATCTTCCTTTTTCTCTGCTGCTGGAAATTGAACAGTAATGCACACCAGCTCAATTCTTCATCAGCACTACTTCGGAGCAGGCTGAGCTTTTCAATCTGAAATAATTTGGTGTGTAATGCGCCCTCTCTAGAGATACTCCAAATTAAAAAAGCCAGGCAGCCAGAAAATAGAAGCCATGAAATGTGAATTGTGCAGACGTCAGGTCCTCAGCACAAGCACTTTCTCTACAGATCTGCTCCAGCTGGTCCACACTTCTTGCTAACGTAGATGTAACTTTAATGTTCAGCATATACTGCAATAAAGGGTTTTTTTTTTGTTGTTTTTTTGTAGATACTACTTAGACATTACTGTGGTTAATGTTTCTAATACAGACACACAAAGACAGAAGGGCTTAAAAATCACTGTCCTTTCTGGCTAGCGATAGCATCCAGTCCTGATGCCAGTTGAAAATACCAGCAAACACCTGTTTGCTAGGAGTTTCACTATGACCTGTGTCTCAACAGTTGGCAAGTTGCTGGGTTAGTACACTGATATCAGAAAAGGTGATGAAGCCAGTGTTTTATTGCCCAAAATCAATGGAATATGTCTGATACGTTGTGTTTAAAACCAAACAAAACCATCCAAATTCTCCCTCTTCCTCCCCTCCAAAAAAAGTCATGTTGTCCCCCCCCCCGTGTGTGTCCCCCCCCTAATTTGTGAAGCAGATTTGTGCAGTGAAATACTCAGCTGTGAGGGAAGAAGAGGCAGATCCCAGCTTCTGCAACCCTTACTGAATGCATTTCACATTAGTCCCGGTGTTAAAAACAAACAAACCAACCCCGCAAGCTAACAGAACCTTAATTCCAGAATTTGACCTTCCATTGTACAGATATTATTTTGCAGTTGTGCTGGGTAGTCACCCTGGTTTGAATACAAGAAATTTGAAATTACACTGTAGTGATCTAAGATGAATCGGACTGGAGGAAAAATGCCGTCATGCCTTATCTTCCCTGTGGAGTAACTTCACCTGTGAATTCATTTATGTTCCGTCAACTAACTGACCTAATCCCCTACTTCTGTCTGAAATACTGACTGTTTTTTCCAAATAAATGTATTTGGTGTAGGAATACTATGATGGCATGTTTCTACAGTATTTAAATTTCTCTCCCTTTTTTTACTGAATCGTTAGGATTTCAGGTTTACGAAGTTGTTGGGAGGTTAGAACTTTACAATAGTTTGCTTTCATTCAATGAGATATAGTTGGGAAGTCAGTAAAAGCCTCCAAAGAAGAGAGCGTTTCTTATTTTGTCATTATTCTTTCCTCTCAAAAGGTGAGTAGAGCGATGTCAACATCAGAAAAATTTTGAGTCC